CGTGAGTGACGTGAGCACCCTGAGGAAGGCTTGCCCTCTGGAACATTCCCATCCTTGTATCACGTTTTCTGTCCTCCTGCTGGTCACAGTCATGCCTCAGACCCCCATGGGCCCTCTGTACCAGGCCCTAAGCAGGGTGCTGAGGACACTGTGATGGACAAAACAGATGCAGCCCCTGACGTCTACCAGGGCCACAGACACAGCCCATGCCACTCAGCGCGACGGACAAAAACTCTGGCAAATGCAAGCTGGAGTCTGCCCCCATCTGTCCCGGAGCCTGTGCTCACTCTCTCCTGGCAAAGCCAGTTAGCGCACACATGATCCCAACAGGTGACTAGTCACACAGGCTTCTTTCTCAAAATGTGTTAGAAACTGAAATTATTTTAGATCTGAAACGTCCTGAACTATTCATTAACTAAACATTATTGAAATCAGGTGAGATTAGGGTTGAGTTTTACCAATGGAAGAACTGAACACTGGGTGAAGCACCAGCAGCTTGGTTGTTGGGTTTTGAACTCAAAGTAACGACTGTGCTAAAATAGCTGCACTGTGTTCCCAATGGCTACAAATCAGTGATAAAAACGTATCCTGATTTGCCAAATGAATGCATATTACAGCTTTTAAAGAAAAAAAAAATACATAGTGGTCATTAAAGGCAATTAATTTGTATACTAAGCACTTTTCAAAGTGCAAAGTGGGCCAGGCAAGGTGGCTCACACCTGTAATCCTAGCACTCTGGGAGGCCCAGGTGGGCGGATTGCTCAAGGTCAGGAGTTCAAAACCAGCCTGAACAAGAGTGAGACCTGTCTCTACTATAAATAGAAAGAAATTAATTGGCCAACTAATATATATAGAAAAACATTAGCCGAGCATGGTGGCGCATGCCTGTAGTCCCAGCTACTGGGGAGGCTGAGGCAGTAAGTAAGATTACTTGAGCCCAAGAGTTTGAGGTTGCTGTGAGCTAGGCTGATGCCATGGCACTCACTCTAGCCTGGGCAACAAAGTGAGACTCTGTCTCAAAAAAAAAAAAAAAAAAAAGTGCAAAGCAGCATTTGCCACTCTGCTAAGAATCTGCCTTTTATACCAACACGGTGCCAATTCCTGGGTCCTGAACCCTGGCTCTCAGTTCTACTCACAAGCCTGTCAAGAAAAGGATGTCAGCTCATAAAACTAAGGCATTTCAGCCAATCTTGCAGCCCATAAAGGAGGAAACACGCCAGATCTCACTAGTGGCTCTGTTCTGACCTGCTCCCCTCAGGTCTTCAGATAAGGCAATCACATTTTTCATCTTTTCCTACTAGGAACTCTGTCCTCCTTCTCATGCCTCCTCAAGCCCACCAGGGCTCCTACCGTGGTTCCTTCAGCTACTCACCTGTTAGGTTTCCACTCCTCCTAACCTAATCTCACCTGCACCCTCCTTCCAACCCCACCCTGCTGCTCCCTAGCCCACACCCAGCAGCCCTCCCAAAGGCTGCCCAAAACTTCCTGATTGCCCTGACACCCTCCATACTTCCCTCTTTCTGGTCCCAGTATTCTCTGGGATCCCAAACCCTTCCTGAGCAGGCCCATGAGTTCCTCCAACTCATTCTCGGAGTCTCCACCTGGAAAGCGCCGGAAGCCTGACTGCCTGCTGGCCCTCTCCAGTGCTCACCCGGGACGCTATCTCTGATTAGTGAGCAAGTCTTCAAACACATCACCAAACGTAACCTGCAGGTTCAAACGTGCCACGTAAGGAAGAAGTGTTGCATGACCACGAGGTAGAACGGACACACAGTTAACGTGCCACAGCAACAGGGGTCATTTTTCTAAATAAATCTCCCGTTTTGCACATTACATAGCCCAGGGCAATAGCAGATTCAACTTGTTCTATTTATGTTTGGCTGTTAGATATTATAGGATCCTAGTGATCAACAATGTGTCAAATTCATTTGACATTTTCAAAATATAAACTGACAAAGTTGCTTATTTTTATTTCTAAATTATACTTAGTTTGCTACCATGGCAACAGTAAGAGCAACAACAAAACCACACACTCCCTTCCAATTGATCTTCCTAAAACACTTTACTAGTCTCAGATGCCAGACTGGGCCCTTGGACAAACAAGGACTCTGTCCTCAAAGAGGACATTCTTCATTCGGTCACTGATCAAAGTAAAAATGCCCCCCTCCAGGTCCAGGCAAACCTTGAGCTCCAGCTATTCCACAACCTAAGGTCCCTTCCAGCCTAAATGGCCCTTTCTCCAGGCTACAGGCCCAGCCATACCTATGAGGCCAACTCCACCTGCCCACCTCCAGGAGCCCTGCCCAGGTGGCCCCGGTGCCCCCTGAGCCCACCCTGTGGTCCCAGTAACATCTGTGTCTCCTGTGAGTCCAAGGCTCTCAGAGAGGAAAACGCTGCATTTCTTTACACATAACCCTGCATAACTAGCAAGAAATATCAAAGACCTGCAGAAATCACTTGTTTTCAGGAAAACCACACACCCTGACACTCCTGTGCATGCTGAGCCCACACACACACCCATTCACGCCGGCCATGGGGCTCACCAACTGCTGTGGAAAAGGCACTTGTATTCACATCTTACCAAAATTATTTAAAATACTCATGACAGCCAAGAACAGGATCACAGACCTCTTTCTCTCTTCTTCTGAAATTAACACATTATCTAGTACTTCAATGGAATAATAAGCCACATCTTAAACCTAAACTTACGTACACTTCCAAATTCTCTGTGAATTCAAATTCTCTGTAATACAAATTCAAAATGTAAAATCATTTTAAAGTTGTAACTGAAAATCATTGTGGTTCAAATAAGAGACCGACCAACCATGGGTTATATTTTCTAACTATACGGTGATTTTGAATTCAATAGGCAAGGCAGGGCACAGTGGCTCACACCTGGGCCTGTAATCCTAGCACTTTGGGAGGCTGAGGCAAGAGGATTATTTGAGGGGGGGAGTTCAAGACCCTGGACAACAAAGCAAGACCCTACCTTGACAAAAAATAAAAATAAAAATAAAAAAATCAATAGGCAAATCTGAAATAAGCATTAAGAATATTTCAGTGCGTAATCACTCTAAATTATATGTGCTTTTAAGCTTATATACTTGATTTTTAAACTTAAAAAAGAACTTGTAACATCAACTTGAACACTGAGCTTAAATTCAAGAAAAAGATTTTTAAAACAATTTATCTACCTTTCACTAGCAGCAATTTCTAGAGCCCATTCCATTAACCTGTATTACTTCCCTACACTAAAAACTTGGAAGTGATGCCTTACAGAAAGGGAGGTGCTGAAATAGGCTACAAGGTAATCACGGAATTCATTGTACAAATGCCAAAATCCCTTCTGTGAAAAAAACTGCCCCACTATGTGGGTTACCAGGCCCATAGGAAGTGCAGGACTTGTGTTGGCCTCAGACGTGGCTAGACTCTTCTCTATGCACAAGCTGGAGGTGACAGTCAGAGGCCCAGCCTCCATTTCACCCTTCTTCTTAGCTACTCATCTCTCCTGCAAGGTTCACTCCATCCTTCGAAAGTCTGAATTTGCTCCCTCACTAACTGAAAGCCCAATTTATTTCCACGTTTACCACGTTGGCCTGTGCAAAATTCAATTCAACACAAGTGATTCTGGTTGAACATTAAGAAAGTTTTCTTTAAAAACTCAAAATCTTCAGAGTAAACGTATAATTTCCTTTGTTGTGACGCTGAGTTTTTTGTAAACAACAAACTGTCAGATTAAAGGGCAACTGTTAGGCTCCTACCACTAATTTTAGTATTTTGGTTTGAAAATAACATTCTTTAAATCGCTACTATCAAGGTTTAAAGAATCAGCTGGTCCACCTTTCCGTGTCCGTCTAGGAGACAAAGCAGGACACACACACAAGTTAAGGAATTAAGAAAAGCAATCAAGGAATTAAGAAAAGCAAGACAGCTGTTACCAGCATCTCCCAACAACTGAATGCAGTTAAAAATTCCAGTTTGTGGACAAAGGCTGTACTTGCAATGATCTAGAAATGAGCCCCTGAGGAGTAATTAGCATTTCCTAGAGAGCAAGTTTGTTTTTCAAGCAGAGTAAATAACTTCATAAAAATCATAGAAGCAAACTAATTTGTTTTGCAGCAGGACTGACAGTTCCCTTTGAGGCTCACTCTACCTGAGTTTTTAATAATTTCTAAACAATCAACTGTCTTTTTAAGAAAAGTTTTATAAGAATCTATTTTCCCAAAATTTTAAGGTTCGCGGCATGGATTTACAATCTATTGTGTTTGAGGACTTTTCAACCTTCAGGCTACTAAAAAACGTGGTGAAGGAGTCAAAACACGGTATCTTTAAGTATTTCACTACTGAAAACATGAACAAAAAGGAAGTAACAGACAACCCTTCATAAGCTAATCAGATATACACTTTAATTTGGGGCAGTTCTTCCAACTACATACACTTTTAATATTTCTGTTCACTACGACCTACCTGCCTGTTAGAAACAACACATGCGCACTCCCGGAGCGCACGGAGTACCCCAAGCCCTTGACTCAGGCACCCGCAGCTCTAACTCTAGGAAGGTGACAGCCTGGGTGGGGGGCTGCACCTGCCGGGCGGGGGCGGGGACTGGCGGGGACTGGAGGGTCCTGCAGTCCGAGTCCTGGCTGGGGGTTGGGATCCAGCTGGGGGGCCCAGTGTAGGTCTGGGTTCTGGTCATGGGGGGGTGGAGGAGTCGTGGTGTGGGTCCTGGTCGTGGGACGGGGTCTAGTCCCTCCCGGTTGTGAGTCGTGCCCTGGGTCCCGTCCTCCTGGTGGGGAGTGGGTCAAGGGAGAGAGATATGGGGCTACACCGCAGCCAGCCATAGGAGCACGCGCGCCGAGCGCCAGCACGTCCGGCGGCGGCGCCCCTACGCAGGCCGGGTTTCGGGCGGCGCGAAAACCCGGGGCGGAAAACCCGGGCCTGCGCGGGATTGGGGCGGCGGGGGCCGGCGGGGCTGAGGCCGGGGCCGGTGCCGTGGCCGGCGGGCGGGCTGTCGGCTCTGCAGACGGGGCGGCGGCCGAGCTTCATGCCCGCGGCCTCCCTGGGGATACCGGGGCTGCGGGCCGCCGCTCTCGGCCGGGGTGGCTGGCGCCCGCGCGGCTGGGCACTGACAGGTCAGACTTAGTGTTCTACCACAGCGGAAAATGGTCGTGAGGGCCGCAGCCGCGAAGCTCGCCGTGCGGACGGTCACTCGTCGGCGAGGGGAACCGCGGCCACGCGGCGTCCTCAGCGCGCTGCTGCGTGGCGGGGCGAGGCCCACGCGGGTCCGCGGAAGTCGGCGGCGGGCGGACGGGAGGCCCGGGCGTGGGTTCGGGGCCCACGGCCCACACGTGGGTAAATGCACCGCGCAGACAAAGAGCGGCAGGTGCTGGAAGGAGGACGCGGGACCGAGCGATGCGACAGGGTGGACGCGTCTGCCCCGGGCCTGGCGCAGGTGAGCGCGGCGCCACCGCGACCCCCCAGGCCGGGGCCCTGAGGCAGGGACGTGCTGTGACCAAGGGAAGGAGAAGCCACCAGGAGCGAAATGGGAAACCACCGGGCATTTGGAGCACAGAAGTAACATGATCCGGTGTAACTTTTAAAAAGTTCTACCTGTTTGC